CCAGGATGGAAGACGTTTGGTCGGCCCCCGGAGCCTCGGGGTCTGCCTGACATCTCCAGGCTTAAATAACCGTGCGCCTTTGTTATTCGTCGGCAGCAAAGTGGTTCGTTACGCCTGATTGGTCTAATTGCTTTGAAATGGGATATATTATCTATAATTATAGAGCTCTAGGAGGAGCCGGCCGGCCTCCGCTTTCATCTTCACCAAGTGCACCCTCATGTCGCGATCACATTAATTTGGGCCATTTGAAAGGGGGCCCCTCTCTCCCCCGCCGATCCAGGCCCCCTCACCGGCTTCCGAACTTAAAGACACAAGGAAGCCCCAGCCTGAGCAAGGGGAAAGAAGCCAGTGGGGGAAGGGCGGGATAGGGGGAAGAAGCGGGGAGTCGGACTTGTCTATTTCTTCCTGGCGCTGGGTGAAATCCACCGCACTTGGGCAGTTCCATCCAACAAGCTGGGCCGACTTAATGCGGAGGAATTAGCAGGGAGGAGAAAAACATTTTTTACAAGTAGTTTTTTCTATATCTTTCTCTTTCTTTTTTTTCTCTTTCTTTTCTTTTTCTTTCTTTCTTTCTTTCTTTCTTTCTTTCTTTCTTTCTTCTTCTTCTTCTTCTTCTTCTTTTTTTTTTTTTTTTGACTTTACGTTAAAGAAGGGCTCCTAAACTCTTAAAAGGTTTAAGTTCTGCCCAGGTCCCGGGAAAGCAGAAAGCATTTTGATCTGGATCCGTGCTGTACATATTCAGCCAGTAGCTGAAGACCCCCTGGAGTTCCCAGCTCTTTAGAGTTTTTCTCTGGGAAGCTGTGAAATCCTCCCGAAGGATACCATCAGTGACTCCCAGACAGTTTCCCAAACCTCTGACTCCCAGCCCTTTACTTCCAGGCGACAGAGGCCAGAAGACTGGAAGACGACGTTGGGAGGCCCCCTCTGCAGGTCGGGGGGGTTCCCGAGTTGGTGCTTTCTGTCTACCCGTTAACACCCTCCCCCAACCACCCCCAACCTCAGGACCAAATACCTCCTCTCTCTCCCCCTCCGCCGCCCTCCTGGAGATCGGTGAATTCCCACCAAAATAAATCGTTCCGGGTAATCGGTTTTCATAGCACATTCATTCTATTAAAGAGGACTGTTTGGGGCTCGCTAATTGCTGGGGGATCCCACTGAGCTGCACATTTTAAAAAATGCACGCGGGATTCCTGGGTCGAGGCCACAAAATGCACTGGAAAGGGGGGGGAGGCGTAAACAAAAACCCGACGGAGGTGACAACGAATGCCCAAGTGAGGGGCTAGCCTGCAGGCTCTTCCGATCCTTGCGGCGATACCCTGATAGTGACAGCGCTCTTCAAGATGGGATCCCTCTAAAAACTAGTCTTTGCCTACGACGGGGGAGTTTAAAGACATCACCCTTCCTCCACCCCCGCACACCCTCCTAAACCAAGCATTTGGAGGAAAAAGATCAAACCCATCAGCAGTTTAGCTGCCCAGAGAGTGGACGCAAGGCAATCCGTCTTTAGGATCCTAACCGCCGAGGCGCTTTGTTGGGGCGGGGGCGGGGGACGGGGACGGAGAGTGCTTTAAGACTCCTCGAACTGAGGAGGATGGAGCGAGGCGCGAGGGGAGGGGAGGGCACTGCGCGAATATGCTAGGCGAGCACCAGTCCCAGAGCTTTATCTGCTGCGGGCCAGCCCTGCCCTTGCCAGGCATGAATTACAGCCTGGCTTTCTCGGCTGCTGCGGCCGAGCGGAGAAATGCCGGGGCAGAAGCGCCTGGGGGTTAGTGTTGGCGGCGAGATAACGGGCGCAGCTCCCCCGGCCCTGTCAGCTAGAGAAACCCACCAACGGGGAAATCCGGAAAGGCCCAGACAAAAATACATGCAGAGAATGCTCCCTCTTGCCGCCCCAAAACTCGTGCCTCTCCTCCCCCCGGCACCACGAGCTAGGAGACGCCTAGACATTCTGTTTCTTTTCTCGAACTCCCTTCTCTGAGGCCGAGGGGGGTCCCTACTCCGCAACTCAAGGGCGGCTGGGCGGAAGAGCGACGCGCTTTTCTGAGCGCTGACTCCACGTGGAGTCTCTTCTGAACCCCTTTCCTTCTTCAGACCCACTCTTCTCGCCTTGCAAAGCATGCAGTCGGCCAGCCCCCCGCGCCCGGCGAGAGCAGACGCGAACCCAGACCGAACCTAAAAAGATACCATGGGGTTCAGGACTGGCTTGGGATGCCTACGGGCGGGCGGCAGGGCCGGGGGGCTGCGGGCGCAGGCGGTCTGCTCCCAGGAGGCGGGGGCGCGACTTCAAGGGCCCCTGCGCCGGCTGCTGCCTTTGATCCGGCCGCCGCTGGCGCCTAAAAACAACATCCTCGTCTGCCTATTAGGCGCGCTGAGGGATCGTGACAGATTGTTTATCCCCGCAATTAGCGATGCGGCCCTTCTCCCGCCGCCCGGCTGGCCGGCCCCCGGCCCTGCGCTGGGTCTCGCTGCGCCGCCGCCTCCGGGAAACAGCCCTGAGACCCCTCTGCGCCGCGCCGCTGCACTCTCGGGGTTCGAGCCCCTGCTCTGTCCCAAAGCAGGGGTTCTTAGCTGGGGGACTCCAAGCGGGTAAGAGCCCCTGAAGTGGTTTTTACTGATGCGTATTTTCCCACGGAGAAAGTTCTTAGTTATATCGGGTTCTCACGGTGATCTGAGAATCAAACATTTTGAGATGGGAGACGACGGTGGAACAAAGCAAGCCCGGGTCAGAAAGACACACGGCTCGCTTTTGACACGATAACCTAGAAAGCCAAGGGCCCTTGATTTCCTCTCCCGCTATAGCCCCAGTCCAGAGATTCCGGCTGGGCCGCAGGGTGTTGTTTCAGCTACAGATAAATTAAAAATGCAGGCAATGGAAGTTCGCTGTCCCGGCTGGCCTGCTAGCAGCGGGTTCGGCCTACAGTCTTGCTCAGCTTCTGTTTGGTCGACCCTAAAATGGATCTTACGATCCCCTATCCTTGCACCCTCAGGCGTCCCTCCAGGACTTGGGTTTCACTGCCCGGTGGAAGGACTCTCTATTCGTCCGGCGCGTCCCCCTCCCCGGGGTACGGTGAGTTTAAGATAGGCCGCGTGGATGCTCCGCACCTCCAGCTGGGCCCGATGCGCCAGCTAGAAGCCCCAAACCCTGCCCCATGCTTGTGTTGCAGTCCCGGGTGAGTAAGAAATCTGGAAACGTAAATGTCACAGATGCGAGTATTCCTGAACCCGCCCCAAGGCCTGCACATATCTCCGGAGCTTGGACAGATGTGAGGCTGCCGATCACCCTGGCGTCCGCAGCCCGACCCCTCCCGCCAGACCCCAGACGCCGTCAGGGTAATAAAGTTCCCGCTCTAGCAATTCATTTTCCTTAATCTGGACGCCCCTAATCTACAGCTTTTATTGGGCCCAGTTAAAAGGCGAGGGAATTCGCTGTCCCTCCGCGCTCGGATAATTACCCCTAAATGGCCGCGGCAGCCCCTTGTGTTTCCTGGAGATTAGAACCCCGCAGTCATCAATGGCCGGTCCCGATGAGCCGCCAATCACCGCCGCTGGCTCCCCGGGAGCCGCCGGCCTGGGCCCCGGGATAAGAGGCCATAAAGAGGAGGCGCAGAAAACTGCCGAGCCCCGACCCGACTTTGCATAGATCTTAAGTCTCCCACACTTCCAACTCCTTTTCCTCCATTTTTTTTTCCCAGCAGGGAAAAAAAAAAAATCACGTTACCTCCGAAACTGGCAAAATAAAAGTTCTCAAGCCTAGCTACCAAGGATCCATCCCAGGAACCATCCTCTTTCCGTCCCCACCCCGGCCCCCACCCACAAATGTGCCTCCCCACCCTTGTGCCATCCTGGACCCAGAGACAGGGATGTGTTTTTGTTTCCGCGGACGCGCTGAGGTCACGTTAAGGCCAGACCAGTGTTTTGTTGACGTTTCTGCTTGTTTTATTTCAATAAGTTCTATATCAAAAGGACCCGGCGGCTCCTTCCCCCAGCTGGTCGCGGGTATAGGTGTTGTAATCCTCCCGGGGAAGTTCACAGCGGGGAAAAGTACACATGAATGAAAATCGATTACCGACCCAGGATATATTATGTATTCTTATCCTTAGCTTCCACAGCTCCACGGGAGTGTGGCTTCTTTAGGCAAACTTCAGTCCAGCGCTTAGAAAGAGACAAAGGCCCACTTCTACTCAGAGGTAAAATCTGAAAGATGGAAACAGGAAGAAAATAAAGGCGTCTAAGAAAAAGAAACGAACAAGCCGTCCTTCTAGTAGAGTAAAAAACCATGCGGATTTTTTCAACTATAAAAGAAATACTCATGAAATGACTCATCTCAAATGATCGTGGTAGAGAAGAGGGGAAGCAGGTAGCAGATGGGCACAGAGAAACAGACCCAGCGGCTGACTGAAGAGGAAGGTTGAGGAAGCCTTGGTGGAGAGAAACAGGGAAGGAGGAGAGAAAAAGGGGAGGTGTGGGAGAGAGGGGTGGGCAGAAAAGTCCCCCAGGAACACAGAAAAATAGGGACCGACGGGGACCCGGAAAGAGACAGGCGGCCCAGGCTGCAGCGCGGAAGAAAGTTTCTCCCGTGCCCCCTCCCCTCCTTTGCCCTCCGGGTGCCCGGCCCTGTCCCGCGCGCCCCGCGGCCCAGTGCGCCTCGGGGCCAGTCCGCAGAAGCACTGTCCAATGGCTCGCGCCGGGCCCGCCCCCTCGAGTGCTGATTGGCCGCCGCCGCGCTAGCCTCGCCTTATTAACAAGTTCTCTGGGGAGCTGCGGCCCGACCCGGAGCCGGCGAGTGCGCCCGGGAACTCGGCCTGCGCTGCGGCGCCTGCGAGGAACCAGGCCCCGAGCGCCGGAGCTGGCCTTCTGGGGAGGGGCGGGAGGCGCGCGCGCGAGGGCCCGCCCGGCCAGGGCCCCGGGCGCTCCCAAAGGCCGGCCGCGCTCCCAGCTCGCCCGAAGCCCATGCCCGGCGGCTGGGCCGTGCTGCGGCTGGAAGGGGGGCCCGGCTCTGCATGGCCCCGGCTGCTGACATGACTTCTTTGCCACTCGGTGTCAAAGTGGAGGACTCCGCCTTCGGCAAGCCGGCGGGGGGAGGCGGGGGCCAGGTCCCCAGCGCCACGGCGGCCACGGCGGCCGCCATGGGCGCAGACGAGGAGGGGGCCAAGCCCAAAGTATCCCCTTCACTCCTGCCCTTCAGCGTGGAGGCGCTCATGGCCGACCACAGGAAGCCCGGGGCCAAGGAGAGCGCTCTGGCGGCCTCCGAGGGCGCACAGGCGGTGGGCGGCTCTGCGCAGCCCCTGGGCGTCCGGCCCGGGTCGCTGGGAGCCCCGGACGCGCCGTCTTCGCCGCGGCCACTGGGCCACTTCTCGGTGGGAGGACTTCTCAAGCTGCCAGAAGATGCGCTGGTCAAAGCCGAGAGCCCCGAGAAGCCCGAGAGGACCCCGTGGATGCAAAACCCCCGCTTCTCCCCGCCCCCAGCCAGTAAGTAGCCAGGAACCCAGGCGGCGGGGGAGAGGGGAGAGGGCCGAGGGCGGGGGGGGGGGTGCGGGAACCGCGGGCGCGAGGCCGCGCGCTGGCGCCTGCTTGTCTCCAGCGGCTGCGTACCTGCAGCTGGGTACCTGGAGCTGGTGCTGCAGATCGGTTGGCTGGGAGGAAGGGTTTACTCTTCTCCCCACTCCATCAGCTAAAGGGCTGGAGACCTGGCTGAAACCCAGCTCTCGGTCCACTTTCGAGGGCTCTCCGCCTTGGCCAGGGGACGCTGCGGGTGGGAATTAACTTGTAGGACAAGGTTTCTGGGCACTCTCTCCTCCTGCCCCCATCAAAGGACCCCAGGAGTCCCCAATTCCCTAACTGCCCCCAAACCCTGTTACTTTGCCGTTATCCCTACGGGTGGGTCCAAGTAGTACGGACATCTTCCCGGCGCTCAGAGTTTCACTTTCTCGCAGTAGAAGACTGCCCTCACGCCCCGCAATAAAGTGTCTCTTTGCCCAGAGGTTCTTAACCTCTTGCAAATTTCCCCTTCCCCCTTCAAGTTTCAGGAAGATACTTAGTGCTCCTGGTGGATGGGTCATTTAGTGGGAGGGGGCGCTCAGGTTCCAGTGGAGGGGGCGGGGCACCAAGTCAATTAGTGGGAGGTGCCCCCTCCATTGCGGTGGGAAGCTCCCAAACCTTGCGGACTGGGCCCCTGAAGCGTACTCCAACCGTCAAAGGCGCGTTCGGGGTCGTTCCAAGGCCTCATGGCCCCCTGGCTTGTCTGTCCGAGCAAACACGCTCGGAGATATTTCAGGAGCACGGGAAATTCCCAAGTTTTCCTCGTTTCCTCCGATTATTTTGCGCGGCATAATAGCAACCCGAATTCAATGGCGTGATGCTGAGGAATGATTTTTATCAGGGGATTAAACGTCTTTGAAAGGCCAACCCCTCCCTGGGCCTAATGGCTGGAGAAGGTGGCCCCGGGCTGTGCTGTCCCTACCGAAGGGAGTGATGTTTTCCTCGGCGCCCGCCCCTCCGGTGGCCGGGCGGAAAGCGAGTCGGGGGCCAACTGCTTCCCGGACTCTCAATGGCCTGGAGCAGGGAAGAAGGGGGAATGTTAGCACGAGGTTTCATTTGACTCATATCCTGGTGGTCTGTGAGTCCGAAGGATCATTATTTAAAACAACAACAACGAAAAAAAAAATGCATGCTTAGGCAAAACCCGCATGGTGAAACATTCTCGACTTCAATTCATTTTTCCCAAGGGAGGTTGCTGGATAGGGAAAGCTGCCTCCCCAGGACTTGGGAATTCGGTTAGGGCCCCTGCCCAGACCCCAAAGTCGTTGCAATCTCTGTTGTCCTGGAAATAATTTGTTCTACGTTTTATCTGGCCTCTGCTGCACAGTGTGGCAGGGGTTGACTGGCCCAGAGGACTCAGTCTCAGACCTGCGGGAGCCCTCTGTTGGGGTGCTCGCTCACCACCCATCCTTGAGGTACTTTTGGAAGCCATAAGAAAAAGCCTGGCACCTTTGATCTCTGCAATGGGAGACACAGGTCGGGACAAGTGATTACAGTCCCCTCGCCCACCCACTCCCAATTGTGTGTGTCGGGAGGGCCAAGGCGCTGGGGGTGGGAGAGACTCAGGAGACAATGGAGACAATTAGAAGTCCCCTCCCACCCCCACTGGCACCATATTTGAGAAATGGCCCCGGTGCCACCTCCCTGACAATCTGACAGCAGGCTTTGCTCCCCCTCCGGGTCCCCAGGGAGGGCCCTTAGAACCTTGTAGGAACACGCTGTTCCAAGGGAGAGAGTGGAATTCCGAGCTCTGGGTTCGACGCCACACCACCGCCTAGCCTAGCGCAGAACACTCGGTGGGCACAGATACATGTTTAGCCAATTCATGAAACTAGATGTGATCTCGGGGTGGGCGCAGGGCCTAAAGTTCCATCGGCCATATTAACACCTACCGTGCCAACACAGGCGTGGGTGGGAGGAAGCCCGCTGAGGAAGGCCTTCTGGAGAAGCCGCCTAGCATTAAGACGTTCCACCTCTTCCCAGTTAAGTTTGGGCCTTGAAACTGCGGCCGTTTCACCTAGAATCTTTGTTTCCTCATTCGCGAGAAGTAGACAGGAACGTCTACCCCGCGGTGTGCGGCAATTGAAGAAAACCTTTTCCAAGTGTCCCTCCCAGTGCCTGGCCCCGAGGTGCTCCACGAAAATGAGTAGCTGGTATTATTGACTACTGTTGCTACTCGGTGGGCGGATTACACTCCCGAGCCGTTCTCTTAACGCCCTGCCTTTTTCTCGGCCCCCTAGGGCGGCTGAGCCCCCCGGCCTGCACCCTGCGCAAGCACAAGACCAACCGCAAGCCGAGGACTCCCTTCACCACGGCGCAGCTGCTGGCGCTTGAGCGCAAGTTCCGCCAGAAGCAGTACCTGTCCATCGCCGAGCGCGCGGAGTTCTCCAGCTCGCTCAGCCTCACCGAGACGCAGGTGAAGATCTGGTTCCAGAACCGCCGCGCCAAAGCCAAGAGACTGCAGGAGGCAGAGCTAGAAAAGCTGAAGATGGCCGCCAAGCCCATGCTGCCACCGGCTGCCTTTGGCCTCTCCTTCCCGCTCGGCGGCCCCGCGGCGGTAGCGGCCGCGGCGGGCGCCTCACTTTACGGTGCCTCGGGCCCCTTCCAGCGCGCCGCGCTGCCCGTGGCCCCCGTGGGACTCTACACAGCCCACGTGGGTTACAGCATGTACCACCTTACATAGAGGGTCCCAGGGTCGCCTCTCTGCGGTCCCAGCTGATTCCTCCAGCCCAGAGCTCCTGCGAGCGGCAGGAGCCATCCCCCAAGGAGCTCCCTTGTTCAGCACCTCCCGGCTCCTTCCCCTTGAACCCCTCACGCTGCTCCGGTTTATCGGTTTATTCTCGGCTGCTCCTTGCGTTCACTCTCCAATGTCTGATCCCCTTCCCCAAAGAGGCTGGAAGAGGCCCTTAACACTCTTCTAGAATCTAGATCTACCCTTTGTGTTACAGATGGAGAAACTGGGGTTAGAGAGGTGTAGACTTCCCAGCGGTCCCCAGCAAAGTTAGTGTTTGGATCGGCACTGGGTGGCTGCGTCCTATCCTGACACCAGGCGGGAGAGGCACAGAGAAACTCTCGTGTGAAGATTTTGGAAAATAAGAACAGTTGGAGAAAAAGAGAAGAGCATGTTAGGGGAGATGGAAACCCGGTCCTTCCATCGGAAAACTTAAGAGAACTTCAACTGCAAAACGTCTGCTTCGGTGGGGGGGGGGGGGGGGGGGGACACAGATGCGTTGCCAAGGTAGGTTGAAGGGACCTCTCTCACCAGTACCAGAAAAAAACTGTAAAATAAAATTTAAAACTCCTGTTCTATTTAACAGTACATTTGTGTGACTCTCAAGAATCCCTTTGGAAGGGATTGTGTGTAATATACTGTATATTTGAAATTTTATTATCATTTATATTATAGCTATATTTGTTAAATAAATTAATTTTAAGCTACAAGAAACGATCTCTTCATTCATTTAGGCTTTTATTTGAATTTTACTTCTTGCCTTCTGTTCACATATACAATTGGTTTTCAGCTCCATGGTAGTTTTACACTAGCACCTTTCAAAGGTGACAACAGGATATTCAGGGACGGGTGGGGGGTGTCTTTTTGAACACGCAGGACAGATCTGCGTTAGCAAAGTCAAGTGGAGAATTGAAGCAATTACCTAGGATAATTAGGCTCAATTTTCCAATTCACTTTAAGCTGAAATCGACACTTGCTCAGGCGACCCATAACCGACTCTTTCTTTTTTCTTCCCTTTTAACCTGTCTATGAAAACAAAGCGAATCACCCAAATGGTTTGATGACTGTAGACAGCTAATCCAGACAATTCCCACCCCTGCAAACCTGTTTTTCCCACAGGAGGCCAGGTAGGGGGTGGAAGCCATTGCTTTGCTTCTCTAACTCGCTGGGCTGGTGTAGACCTGGTTTGTGGATCTAATTTTGAGCTGCCAGAATGTGAACGCCTTCACACTCCCTATTACGACCCCAAAAAACAAAACACGTTACTGAAAACCCAAGGCGACAGTACACTTCCCACCTTGGCGTGTCCTTTATGTGAGCCCCTGCCTCCAAATGCTCACAAACTCGGTTTTTCTTTTATACAGTAGGTTAAATTCAGGCTTCCAGGAGAATGTATTTGAATGGCCGCCAAGTTTAGCCTTCTGGGGGGAATTCTGCAAGGATGTTGATGGCAGAAAATGACCTCCTAGTAAACAGAGCCTACTATGTTCCAGGCACCGCTCTGTTCCCTTTTGAGTTAGGGGCCTTGGCTTAATTCTCACCAGATCTGCGTGCCCTTCCCTCCCCTGGCCCTGCTTCAGTCCCGCATTCCCCCGGCGCCTCAAAACTCCACGCAGGACAGGTAGCTTTTGCAGCGAGTTGTTAACCCTGGAAGCCAGCAGGCCAAGAATTGTTAGAACTCCAAATACCTGGCGTTGGACTTGGGAAGGGTGGACATCTCCGCAGCTAGAGGCCGCGGTGCAGGGTGGAAACCGAGTCTGGGGCACATAGAGCGGTTTCTAGCCCCAGGGGCCGGAGCTCTGCCTAGGAATTCCAAGAGAGCGCAGAACTGCGCGCAGACACTCCGAGCGGACTCTGAGATGGTGCGGGGCAAGTTCCAGGGTACCCTGGGTCTCCCATCCTCCAATTTCGATAGCTCTGGCAAACGCTCCGTCCCGGAGTCTGGGGCTGAAGTCCCCAAATCGCACAACTCCTTCTCCTTAAGAAAAGAAAGCAAGCTTGCGGTAGAGCGCAGTTCGCCGCTCCATACAGACTCCTGGGTTCCCATAAGCGCGGCCAGAACCCGATTCCTGGGTTCCCATAAGCGCGGCCAGAACCCGATTCTGGGCCTCTTCCTCCCCAGGAGAGAGGAGTTAGACCTAAAAAGGTCTCACACTCACGTAGTCCTTTAAAGACCCTTGAAGGCTGAGGTACATCGCTGCTTTCACAACAGAAAGGAGTTGTGTCCTCTCTACAAACTAAGCAACCCAAGAGTAACGGAGCGCAGGACACTGACTCCTACAGATTTTTCGGGTTCTTTTCTGGAACACCCCTGGTGAATCTTCTGTCCTGGGGATGGTATTGAACTTGAAGTCAGACAAGCCGACGTGGTTCATCCCAGCTCTGCTGGTTACTGACTGCGTGACTTTGGGTAGGGAAGATATTCTATTTCTCTGTTCCTCAGTTTTCTCATCTGCGAAATGGGCCTGGGACGGCTTCCCCGCTCCCGGGATTTTGGGGAAGTGTCAACGAATCCCCGCGGGAGAGGGCGCCCAGAGAATAGTGGTGGATCTAATTTTTCCCAGTTCACGGTGCGTCCGCAGCCCTGGAGTCTTTTACTCTAGTGCGGGTAGGGGAATGGTGGGGGCAGGATCAGGTGTCTCCTCTGGCTCGGACTCCCCGGCCTCCTGGCTCCTCGAAGTTTGGCAATTTAGGTTTGAGGCAAACTTAGAGCAACATAATTGCAGTAATGAGCAAGGCTCGCGCTCTGCAGACGCGCCGCGGCTCCAGAGAGGCGGTAGCTGCAGGCGAGGCGGGCGCGCCCCCTTCCCCCACGCAGCACCTCTGCCGGGTGGAGGAGGTCGCCCGCCGGGGACCCCCGCTCGCACCGGCCTCCTAGCTCGCCTCCGCCCGCGTTGCCGGCTTGGGTCCAGGTTTCCTTCCACTCCCGTGCTCCCTACTTTCCCGATTTTTGTTTCTTTTCGCCTAGCTCTTTCTTTCCCCCGCTTTTGTTTTCGAATTCCCTTTTTCAATACAGCGTGTACACAGAAGGTGCCCAATAAATGTTGGTTAGATCGAAGCGGCGCACTGGTGTGGGCTGAAGACCCTGGGCCAGATTCAGCCAGGTCTGGCGGGAAATGGCGGCGGGGCTCGGCACCGCTTCTCCCTCAGCCCAGTCCTTCGAACTCAGTTGCTTGTTTATCAAGCGAGGGCAGAGTGGGAAGAGGGTTCCCAAGCTTGGTCCTTTACAGATCAGCTTCCTCCTTCGGCAGAAAACCCCGGATCATTCACTACGAGTCACCACCTATGGCGCCCAGAGGAATTCCTGTGCAAGCCGCCTCCCCCGCGCCTCCCAAGAACCTTGTGGGATTTTTTTTTTTTTAAACAAGAGAGTATATTGGTCCAGAGAGGTTACGTGATTTCCCAGAGTCACACAGCCCATAAGGGGGAAAGCGGGATTCGAACATAGATTCCACGCCGCTTTCTAGGCTTTCCCCCATTGCCCAGTCCTCCCTTGTTGAGGGTCACCTAGTGCCTGAACTGCTCTTAGGTTTTAGAAAAGATCCACGATGCGGGCCTATCGCTGGAAAACCGGCCTCGGGGAGCCCAGCCCTAGCTCCACGAATTTAACTCCTTCATGCTCTGACTATGCGCAAGGCCCGTCTCTTCGGGAAAACGGACATCTCATCTGCCCTACAAGCTGTCTGTGACGGCATTTTCGTTTTGTTGGGAAGGAAGCAAAGGCTTAACCTGCAAACTCAGGTTTCTGACCACGCAGGCTGGACCGAAAAGCCCCAAGGTCCAAGGATTGGAAGCCCGGGTAGGAGAGAGTACTTCGCGGCAGGGGCCCTGGGGCGCTCTCGTTCCGCGCAGGTCCGAGGGTTCCCAGGCGGTCGCCGATCTGCGAGGCCTGGTGGGGCTGGAGAGTTCCAGCCCAGAGCGCCTTGTGTCAGGGCTCGTTTCTCCGCCGGTTGACCCCGGGGTTGAGGGCCCAGGTCGCGCGGGAGACCCAGTGGAGACAATTACTCAGGAGGCGGGGGACCTCAAGTGAGAATCCTACGGGCCGTGAGGCTGGAGGGGTCCCGTACCGAACGATGCCCCCCTTAGTGACCCGCGGCCCGGAGGTGAGCCAGGCCTGCGCCCCGCCTGGAGCCCTTGGGGGTGCAGTGGGAAACAGCGAGGAGAGGCTGCGGCCGCCTTTCAACTTGGCAGCTGGCGCCGGCCTGGCCGGGCCCCCGGGGCCGTGGGGCCTCCCCGGCTCCGTCCCCGCCCTCCTAGCCGCTCGCACCGCGGCACCGCCGGGACACTCCCCCAGCCCCGACTCCGGCCGCTCCTGGGAAACACCTTCACTGCCCCCTACCCACGACCACCAAGTGTCCATTCTCCCGAGCCCCCGCAGTCCCCACTCCAGACTCTCGGATTTCCTTTCTCTCCACTCGACAGCTTCCACTCCGGCCTCGCGAAGCACCCCTGCTCCAAGCCTGGGAGGACCCTCTCATCGCACAGGCCTGCTTCCTGCACAGCGCCCTCCCGCGGCCCCGCGGGCCTACAGCCCCTGCTCTTTGCCGCCCAGGAGCAGGACGCGGGAGCAGGCTCCCTCTGACACAGAGCTGTTACGTTAGCGCGTCCTCATCGTCCTCGTCGTCATCGTCATCATCGTCGCATAACGCATAACAACACACCAACATACACGGCGACACACACACATCTAACACAACAATGCAACCCATGTTCAACCAAGACGCACCCAACACACCTACAACCAGCGAGCGCGCACACACACACCCAGCACATACACACGTAGCCAACAAATTCACACCCAGACAACACCTCTCAAACAAATGCAATGTGACACATAGGCGTACAACCAACAGATACCCAACCACACGAAATCAACATATGCTGCACACTCTGAACACACAAAGCTAACACACGCAAGCCAACACACACCCAAAACCCACAATGAACACACACATCCTGATAAACACACAGCTCCAGCTTATAGAGGCAAACATACATTGTTAAGGCCGCACGCTTC